AATAGCATCCTCCTGTGAGGAAGCAGCATAGGACTGGGAAACCACCAACCTCCCCGCCAAGGCCATTTCTCCATTCAACGTGGAACCCTTCACTTGCTCCAAAATTGTCAACGTTTTCTCCACAAAACCAACTGCTGCCAGATGACCATTTTTGGCAGTTTAAACATTACTCCTCATATAATTTATTCACGGCACCTACATCCCCAGGTCCCTGCATAACATTGCTAAACATTTTCCTTTTTGGAGGAGGGAGGCTTGTGGGACTTGTTTTTATACTTACAGGCACAAGTAATGAGTTTTTAYCCAGCTAGAGAGGAAGTAGATTGCCTTTCTCTCCCATACACAAGTTAATCTATCACATGGCACTGAAAGCAGATGAAAATCTTGAGCTGCTTCACACACAGACTTTAATGATGCATCCCTCTAGAATCCTCTATGGACAACGCTCTGATTACATCAAGAGCCAGGCCTATAACTCCTRTAGGGTAGGGGAAAATAAGTTGGTCAGCTCTGACTGCTGAATCTCAGGACTAATACTCAGAATAACAACTATGGTTACCCAAAGGTTCATCCTCCCAGAGCACAGCAGCAGTGGCAAAGCACTCTCGTCAACGACAACTTCATTTCTTTTAAAACCAGCTTTGATCTKACAGCCCTGAAAGAAGCAGGAAAACATTTAGCAAAACTCCTTTCTCACACTCCCGTGACTCATCTGCGTAAGGTGATACCGAAGCCTGCTAAACATTTGGGATAACTTTGAACATCAGAGCACCCGTTTTAAACAGTTGTTGCTATTTGTCCCTGGGCTGCTCATGATCCGACTTCGCTGCCGCCGCGCTATGCGCACACAATGACAGGAGGCTGTTTCACAGGCTTCTATTTTTAAGCAACGTTGCATGCAGTTTTCCTTGCAGCACTGACCACGGTAGGTAGAATAAATTAAGTTTTAGGAAAAAATTCTTGGAAAATTATGAGTACACAACACATAAACTTCACAAATATTATCACCAYTGTTAAAACAACTGTGAACAAGGAAGCACAGTGGAACCCAGAAGCTGCAATTTATGACTCAGCCCAGCACAGCCTTCTGCTCTCGAACAAACTCWCTGCTGATTTGTGCCAAAAGCCCTATGCTTCCACTTACCTGTTTTTATCTGAGGGATACACGCTTGCAGTAGCAGACACTTTATCAGCAGCCTGGAGAAATCACTAAGCTGAATGTCCTTTTTAGACAAAGTCCTAAAATTTTCAGATAAGCGAAACCAGCACTGCCCCGAGGACAACACARGTCCTTGTGTGGTTTCAGTGCTTAATCTACACGGAGTACTTAGCTCAAACCCCAGCTCCATCATGGTCTCTACCAACATATTTTTCATGAACTGGATATATCTAAGTTCAGTGGTAGAAAGAGGATGTGATTCATAGAAAGTRACAGAACAAACTACACACAAAAATCTTCTTGGAAAGTTACACTGAAAGTAACAGAAGTTAGTAGGACATCTCCATTACCCCAGCGTGCACAGCGAGGGAGTTTATTCCTACTATAAAACATCTTGGAAAGGTGATGAATGTTTTGTATTTGTCTCCAACAAACCATGACTCCTGCCCTCGCAGCCTTCCCCAATGTGCACACTGCAATTTGGTCAATTAAACACTTCCTGCAACCCTGAGTGGGAAGCAAATAAGGCTAAATCTTTAAGAGGGTTTCAAGAGACTACGTAGAACAAAAACCTCAAGTCAACTCAATGTTGAAATACTCATTCCAGGAAACTTGGACGAGACCAAACCTGGCTAGACGGTGCTAATGAAACACTTGGTTGCAATGAAAATTAAGTTAGAAATGAACTATTTGATAGATCAGGAAAACAGAAAAACAAACATTGAAGCTATTACTGCCCAGGAAGCTGTAGGCACTTAACAAATCAGAATGGAGACTGCCTAAACCGATACAACCTCAGTGGATTAGTTACTACTCTAGACTAATCCAATTAGACAGGTTTCCTGATTTTGCTTAAATGAAAACTGTAACACTTCAACTGCAAAGGAAACATCAGTAAGGGGAGAGAGGGAGCCAGCATTGTGAATAGTAAAATATCCCTAAYAACAAAGGTTATAAATTCTTTTAAAACATATTTGAGAAAAAGGTTTTTAAAATGTCTCAAATTCTAAACTATTTACCACCCATTATTAATAGCCCCTACAGTTAATTATGTCATTTCACAGCAGCAAACATAGCCACAGTTAGACAGCTGGAYACATCAATACCTTTCCTATTCTGAAAGGCAGTTCCCAAACTTATTAATTTGCAAAATTACTAGTTACGAGCACACACTATTCATAAGGAGGACCAACCAGCTGGCTAGCAGTCAGGAAAATGAGTAACTCGAACAGCACGGTCAAGAATTTGCAGCCATATTTGTAATCCCAGTCAGTTGGTTATCATTCCAAAAATCTGGCACCAAGCTGTTTAGTCCCAGCGTAGTGTTAATTCCTGCCTTACTTGGAGCAGCTCTACAGATATACTGAAAAATCAGTATTTGCTAAAGCTCAGTTGCACTTCACGGGCATAATTTCGAAATAAATAAAAAATCCAAGACCTCCAGCATTTTAATGATTCCTTTCTGCCACCAGGTAGAATGGCTGGTGGTCTTGAACAACAAGGCGTTCCCACAGAACTTGCAGGGATAACTAAATGTTTTCCTATGACATAGTGAACTTGACCTATTTTAAGGCTTCCCTTTTAACTTTGCATTACAGTTCACTGCCATATGATTACAGACCAAAATTAGGAACTTGCATTAAGAACTAAAGTACGTACACACAAACTATAGAAAGTGACAACTGAATCACTGTAACAAATGGTATAACATGACATTTTACACCACGGATCTGACTTGTATTCTTACAGTAAAATCTTTCACTTAATTCTGTTGCATTGATTTATTAATAGAGCTAAAAATGATCAAAACCTTACAACATTCATATTAGAGAATCCACAAGCAGAAAGACTATTGTTTTGGCTCACACTTGGCATGAAGAAAATCATCCGAGAGAACAGATTCTATTGATTTTTTAAAAGCTTACATTTTACAGTAACTGAAACCTTTACCGAACACCTTGAATACTGAAATCTTTCCTTTARCTCCTCTAAATTCTTACCCATTATGACAACTATTCTATGAAGACACTCAAAATAGCACTAAGACCCAGGATGTACAAACCCAGCAAGGCAGGAGCTAGTGGAGAACAGAACGTACATCTTGTGTAAACCACAGAAAGGGCTCCTGTAAAACTACCAGGCTTCCTCCAGTCCTCGTTTAACAGGAGTCAAACCCATCCAATCCCAATCCCAAAGCTAAGCGCACGTTGGGATTGCCCACTGTGTCAGACTGCAGAAGACTTGATGTGAAGACATCCCTGCTTTCTGGATCTTCACTGCTCTTAAACATCTACTAAATGCCTGTCAAAACACAAGCAGTTCAACCAGACAAGAAGGAACTTTCTCASAGATATAATAAACTTCCATGAGAAATTTTTCATCAAATCAACAGTGAGATAAAGAGCGAGCACAGAACTGAAGGGCAAGCATTAATCAGGTTTGACTTATTCACAACATTTTTCCTCCCATAAGGGTTATTTACAGCACACGTATGCATCACAGGGCACTTGATCCTTTATTCTGCATGAAGAATATCAAAATTATATTTTTTCATTAGAATATATTACTTAAATTTCAGCAAAATTTACATTCTTTGAATTCTGCAGAACCTGGAAAATAAACCCAGAATCTGGTTTACTCACCAAAGATCCAGGTAAGATTTCCCTTATGATCTTAACCTGACTTGGTCAGACCACTGTCAAAAGTCATTTGGCTTCAACTGACCAATCCCCGGATCCTTCAAAAGCCAATTATCAAATTAGTAACAACTCCTGTCACTATTTTTGAAGCAGGCACAGCAGACATTAAATACTCATTTCACACAAGCCAAGCTCAACCACAACCCCAGTGCCAGAAACAGAAAACATCTGTAATTCTTTTCTCTTTCCCTGTTGCTAAAACTTAAGGTTTTTAGAACATATCTCCTTCAAGGTACAATCTGCGAGGTCCCAGTTTAAGAACCGCTTACACAACAGCAAATGAGGCTCATGGTTTCTGTGAACAGAGGACTCAACAGAGGTCAAGAGCTGGCAGAAAGTTGTAGTGAGACATCAGAGGCAGCAGCTCTGCTCAGGAGGTCCCAGAAATCACAGGTACCCTGTGCTCCTACTGATCACGCTGCTTGGACCCTTGGACAGTATCTTCTCACTCTTCTTTCATCCCTTTGGATGCCACCTACCTCAGCATCATCTCCTGGAGGGATCCCTAGCCCTGCTTCCACCTATCAACACCTTCCTCTTCCATCCCTGACAACTTGACAACAGATACTTGGATGTCAAAAGAGAAAGATATCTGCGTTCTATGGGCTTGGGTGATAACTCAGGGGCATCACAGAATGCCAGTGCCTCTTGGGAAACACTAGTCTAGGCTATCACCAAATTTAGTCAACACTTTGGTTGGACTGAGTTAACTCTTAAGTGTTGACAATGGTTAAGTGAGATTTACACCAATGCAAAACCTTGAACAAGAGTTTTTTTGCACCCTGCAAACTCAACCTGATTTCAAATGGCAACCCACGCACTAAGAAAACCTCCAGTTTGCAGTGGGTATTTGCAATGGCCAAGCAATGGGCAACAGCGTAGCCGACTGACCTTGAATCCAGAAAAGCCCAAGGATGAAGCCTTGAGGCTCCTCTTAACRGGAAACCTTGGACTTCCTCCTAGTGACTGAAACCTTCCATCAAATAACACCACAGTGGCCAGTGAACACCTGATGAGACCTCCAACAGCTCAATCAGCTGCAGACCCTTTCCCTCCACCTCTTGGCAGCTTGGTTGTTCAGGCACTGAGCATCTCAGGATTAAATGGAGATACAGAAACGCCTTTTCCCAAACATCCATTACCTTGTCCTGAGGGCTTGCCAGGCGGCATCAATGTCTGCGTAGAGGTTCTTCTCGGAGGGCTTGCCGGTGCTCACCCCGTAGCCGGAGTAGTCGTAGGAGAAGACGTTGCAGTTGATGCGGGAGCCGAGGCCGATGTAGAAGCTGCACATCTGGCCCAGGTCCACGGCGTTACCGTGCGAGAAGAGCAGCGTGTAGCGGCCCGTGGGGGCACAGCGCACGAACATGCAGCCCAGCCGGTTGTCCCGCGCCGTGCGGGAGAAGAAAACTTCCACGGCATCCAGTTCCCGCTGCGAGTACTGCCAGTCGGCGCGCTCGCTCAGGTGCAGGCTGCAGGTGCCCGAGGCGGTCGGGGTGCCCGCGGCCGCGCCGCCCTCCTGCTGCTGCTGCTGCTCGGGCTGCAGCACGGTGTACGTGGGCTCCGGCGGCAGGAAGGCCAGCTTGGCGGCGATGCGGCTGGGGCAGGGCGGGCAGCAGAAGAGCCAGCAGAGCTCGCCCAGCGAGAAACCGTTCATTCTGGGGCCTTGCTCGGGCATGGGCGCCGCCGCCGGGGGACGCGGGCCTGGGCGGGCAGGGCACGGGGGCCCCGCGGCACCTGCGCGCCCTTCGCCTCCGGCCACCGCCGCCAAAGGCGAGATGGCCCCTCCAGGCCGGGGGAGGGGAAAAAAAGGGGAAAAAAAAACCCCAAAACCCGCACAAAACACACACCTAGTACCAGCTGCCCTTAAAACCGCCACCACGAGCGCCCCGGCAAGCCCAGCCCCTAGCCCGCCACCCCAGGGCCCCCTGGAGAAAAGGAAAACTGACCGATAATTGGAAGCACCTTTACGGGAAGGAGCCTCCCCGGGCGCGCGCGGCTCCCGCGGCCCCTCCGAGCCCCGCACCCACCGGCCGGGCCCCCCCGCGCCGCGGCGCCCCCGGCCCCGCTCCGCACGCGGCCCCCGCCCCGC